GCCAAAATACTGGGATACCGGTCTGACGCGACGATTGGACGAGTTTCACGACAAAAATGACGCAGCGCGTTTTCAACAGCGGACTGGGACTTGTTGGTGGCTGGGTAGGTATGGATGACACCCGAATACTGGTCGACGCAAACTAGAGCATATTGTTCACCCTTGAAACCTACATCAGCGGCCTCAAGGTGATCGCAGGAAATTCTGTGTAAGAACCCTCGTGGGGCTTCAACCACTTGTGCCTGTTGATCTGCCTGGGACTGGTTTTTAAAGCGTCGATGCGCGTGGGTCCGCAGTTTGGCTTGTCTACAAACATCACATGCAGGGTGTGCGGGTTGATGCGTCAATAAGTGATCAATCGGAATGCTTGCGGGGCGAGCTAAAACCTTGGGTTCTTCGCTCTGTTCTGGGGCTTCAGGTTGTGAGCGCGCGATGTTGGGATCACTGGGTCCTTGTGCTTGACCTTCCGGCCGTGAAGATGAAGCAACAACATCGAAACTCTCAAGCTCGGGTAAATCTACTTGGGCTGATTTGTGTTCCTCTTTGGAGGGACTGGGCATCTCAACACTTGGTGATGAGGATTCATGAGGCATCTTGGATGCTGGCATACCATGTGCAAAAGAAATTGTTTCCTTGAACATGGGAACACAATGATCAACTCGATCCGCTTGGTAACAACGGGAGTGGTCACAAGAAACATTGAAAGAAACACCAGGAGGAACCAATGTGGGTTGATAAGAAGGACCCCAAAAGAAACTGAAACCTTTCTCAATCAACTTCCCAAGACTTTTGACATAGGGGCAAGATTGCAACATGTAAACCAAACCATCTCCAGCAACATCCCCCACGGTGCTAACTGTATTTGTTGCGGCCTTTGGGCCACCACCTGTGTCAAACGTCAATGGGACGTCTGACACCGTATTGAAATCAGCAAGCCAAGATTCCGGAACACCCTGATTGCAAAGTGCCCTTGTCGAGGCCAGATCCTCCCCAGCTCCTGAATCCAAGGCCCATTCCAGTTCAAACTGGTTGGAAGAAGGTACATGCGATCCGGTTGTCCCTGCCGCAGCACCTAGGACTACCATTGCGACCATTGCAGCCTTAGCTGGCGCAGCTTTGGCCGCAGCACCTGAGGTGGTGCTTCCCGCTTTGCTCTTTGGAGCAGCCATTCCTTGTGACCCTGAAGACGCTTGTGACGGACCTTCATGCCTGTACGGGCAATCAGCCCCCCGCCTACAAAGACCTTCGGGGTAAAAAATGCAAGCACCCTGCTTTGAAGAAGCTGATTGTCCAGATTGTCCGGACTTACCATGCTTCTCCTGTGATTGGCCTTTGTCATCAGGTTTCCTTGGGTGTGAAGCTTGTGGGGATCCCTTAGATTTACCTTGGGACTTACCTCCTTTTCCCTTGCCCTTAGACTTCGGGGGTCCGTCACCCTTTCCCTTCCCCCCGGGTTTGACAGGAGGTGGAGTTGGGTTACCAGGCAAGCCAAGCTTCTTCGGACCTCTTTTCAACCCTTCTTGAATGGAAGCAAGATTTTTCTCATGTTGAGATTCGGCAATTACTCGCTGAAGTCGGGACCATAAATACTCATAAGATCTTTCATTGCTACCTACAGGAGATTCCTTGATACGATCAATGGTTAACTGCAAAAGCCTGACCTTTTTGAGTTTTTCAAACAACCACTTGGACATGATCTGATCGCTTGGTCTTTCAGCTACCGGGAGTTGACCCAAAACGTATTGAATCTTGTCCCTGAAGGAGACGAGAGAAGACAAGTCGGATTCTGGAGATGGCATTTGAAATAATTCTACAGCTGAAACAACACTTCCAAGGGCAGAATCAAGGTCATATTCCCGAACAATCATGTTTAAAAGGGGTCTCCCTCGAAGGCTGATGCTATTGGCCATCATTTCTTCCAGGTGTGCTTGAATTCTGGTCCCAAAATAACCCTTCAGACACGAATCCCTAGAAAACCAGGAACACAATATGCGGTCAAACCGTGGAAACCCATCACTTTCATGACGAAGGTACTCAACATCAGCAGCTGACTTGGCGTTAAAAGCAGTCATAAGCCATTGATACAAATGTCCTTCATCAGATTTGTCAAGAGCGATGAGGGCTGGTAAAAATGCATTTTTCCATGACCTGAGCGCACCTGCGGAGTCCGGCAACGCCGGCATTCGCACTGCTGCAACATCCTTCCATCGGATGCAGCTGTCTTCCAACGTGCCTTGATCCTCAGCTGGATCTGCACTGGACTCCTGATCCAGTCGAAGCCCGCTAGGCTGGGATCCAACGACTGGGACGAGTTCCTCCTCATCATCAGGATGGGGTTCCCCGGTTTCATCTACTTCCCAATTTTCAATATTAGCTAGCCGCTCAAAAATGGTCAACATTTGATTTTCCAAACCATTCATTCGATCCATCATCTGGGATTCAAAAAGGGTTAATCTTTCAGCGATGGTTTCAATCTTCCTATTCAACTCCGCAGCATTGAGTCCCAATGATGGTGCAGTTGACTGGGCTTGAACATCTGCAAGATTTTGGTGAAGCTTCTGCACTTGGTCCAATAACTCTTTCTCCCTTAAAGAGAACTGCTTCATCAATTCCCTTTCCCTTTCCATCATGAACTGAGCAGCACTTGCCTGCACGTTGGCGACTGTCTGTGCTGCCTCAGTGGTTGCACTAGCAACGTACGTCGCTGCCTGAGATTGAACCTGAGCGATTGTCTGAGCTGCCTCCTTGGCAGCGTTGGACCTAATCTCGGAAGCATATTGAGCTGCCTGGGATTCAACGACTTGAGCATGAAGGGTGGCCGATGAGACCAAACGTTCAGCCTCTGCCTTAGTCATATTTTCCCGTTCCTTAGCCGATAAAACCTCAGTTGCAGCTTGACGCATGACCTCAGGATCTGTCCCAGGTGCAACATACACCGCCTGTTGATTGTACACCGTGCCAGTCTGTCCGCTTTGTTCATCTGCTGGCCCGGTGTTAGAAAACCCGGCGCTAAATGGCAAGTCGTTTGGATCCTGATGCCTAAAAACCGATTTTGGTCTGACAACAGGGGACCTGTTGCGATTTGTCGTTTGGCCAGCGCGGGCAAGCGCTGATGATGGTCTTTCCTTGGAAATAACCTTTTTTGAATGAGTGCGGACTGATCTTACCGATGAACTCCTGGAACCATTTGGTGAATCTTGAATCATGCCAGGATTCCCACCAATCCCTTCAGGGCTTGAAGTTGAAAAGTTCAAAGAAGAAGAATTTCCGGTAGTTGACATCTCCTTGCAACCAAGAATCAATAGAAAGGCTGCGAGTAAACTCGAGGGAACACCAAGCTCTGAACGCGCTGGAGTGCGTCTGCAATGGTGGTCTGGATTACTGGCCACTCGTGAGAAAACCCTTGGGCAAACTGAACACCACTAACCCCTCTCCCCCTAACAGCCCTGATCACAGATGCTTTGTCGTCAATGTGAACAGCACAAACGTTGGAATTGATCCGACACTTATCCTGATCAGAACAAATACACAACGAAACAAGTTGATGGTTGGGAATACCTCTCAAAGTCAAGAATCTATTCAGGGACTGAATGTTACTCCTCAACTCAGCACGTCTTGATTGCGATTTCTGCCCAAACTCTCCAATGTACGAGCAAACGCCAATGCGATGCCTCTGATCCTGTTGCAAAAATTCTAAAATAGCAAGCTGGTTTGATCCCCGAACCCCAACACCTGCTGGTGCAGGACCCCCTGCGTACTCGCAATCCAAAACGTTGTGGAAGTCTAGGCTAACCCGAATCTCAGGATTTGTACAAGTACCAGTGGAAGTCTTCACAATTGGTGGGTTGGTCTCGGGGGCAACAGGTTCACTAAGACGTTTGGGGGGTAACTTAGGTTCCGGTGCGCTACACACTGCTATTGACTTAGACAATGACGATGCCTCGGACTCAAATGTCACAGGAACAGGTACCTCAATGGCGCTCTGGCCGCAAGATGATGCTTCCAAACTCGTTGGCTCAGAAGTCCCTTTTGGAGGGGATGCAGATTTAAAAACAGCACCCAGCTTGGGGAATATTCCAAGGTTTAAAGCTTGTGAGCCCGTTGGTGGGGAAGCACTGGGGTACCCTACCGTCTTAGGAACAGGAACCGTCGAAGTTGTGAGTTTGTTGGGAGGTGGTACCACTGAAACAGGAGCAATAAATGACTCTGCAACTGCCTCTGGTCCAACAAAAGAACTGGCTGATGCGCCGCCCTCAAATGGTTCAAAAGTATGACCAAAACTACTACTAGAACCACCCAACGATCCAAACTTTGGGGCCGATGAGAATGAGGATGACAAACCAACCTGCGGTACCGAAATTGCTGATGATCCCACAACCAACTGTCTAGCCGACAAAGGTCTAGCACTAGGTGACTGGTGAGTTGCAGCAAAAGCTCTTGGCACGTGTTCCCCTCTTTCGAACTTCTCAGCTAGTTCTTTCTGTTTCTTTGCCTTCTTGCCTCCACGTCTGCTATGTCGCTTATATTGGTCACCCTTATCACCCTCAGGATCACTCATGCAAGTGAGAGGCGAGAAAGTACCAAGAAGCGCTTTGCCAACCACCCGCGTCAAACGCAGAAGAGATTAGCAGTGAAGAAGCTCAGCCGCGCGCCAAGAAAGCCAGAAAGCAAAGGATTGGGGGCTTAGTCCAAGAACCGCAGCTGCGCAAACAGCACCGACGCCAAAGGGAGAAAAGAAAGAGCGTATACGGCTGATGACCACGTTTTGCAGTCTTCAAACCGCTGCTGCACCCTATTTCTTGAGCCAAAGTGGTCAAGAGTGCGTGTCATTCACGCAGGGGCCATGTCGTTGGCAATGGACTTGTTACACTTCTCGATTTGTGCACCTCAGGAGGCAGATGTCAAACGTCTAAGAGACAAAAAATGCTCTCAATAGTCCACCATGAAGTCCATGCCGAAATCCCCAGCAGAAACATGCCGAAAGCCACTTGCGGACTGTCCTCGGTGGAACTGGACCACCAACTGTATGATGCCATCTCCAGCATTTGCGCCGCTTGCAGAAGTTGCATACCCAGGTCATGGGAGCCTAGGGCTGAAACATCGAAAAACCAGTCAGGCCATGTTGACTTGTTGACCCCCTGGCGTCATCAAAGAAGAAACCCAAACTTGAATAGTTACAAAATCATCACGCCCTACGCTTGGCAGTTTTGGGCATCTTGTCTTCAGGGCATGGTGTGGGGTGTGTCTGAAGATCAGGCGCCAAAGGTCAAAACATCAATCACCCTTCCCCCCTAAGCCATCCAATCAACGAAGCCCATGCCATAAACTCAGCAAGTAAACCTCCCCACCTCGGGACGGCCCACCTTCCCACCATTCGTCACCCAGCAGCAGTCGATCCACTCGATTTCCTCCACCACCTGCTGAATGAGGCCTGCAGCCTGCAGCAGATCTCCAGGGACCGCAACCTTCGAAGCTGCTGCCTCAACAGGGGCTCCACTAGGGACCAGAATTCATTCGGCACCAGGTACTGTACCTGGTACGGCTGGGAAATCCCTCAAAATGGAAGTTGAATGGGAAAATCATCGGACTAAATTGGGGATTTTCCATTCCCACGTTTGATCGCCGGAGGGTATAGCAAATGGGGGAACACTTCAATCATCCCCAGGAGCAGACTGGGCAACTGAAGTTGATACTCCAAAGATACCAAGCCAGCCGGCCTCCTGCAGTCGATACCCCAGCTGTCGGAGCTGAGACTGCGCGTCCATCTGCTGATGGGAATCTGCTGCGTGCAACAGCAGCCGGGCTGCGTAGTCAAGCTGCTCACCTCGGCGGCTGCTGCACATGATGTCCTGGTGCTGCTAGGTCTTATATATTTGTATTTTAGAAAACGGAACATCATGACTGATAGATGTCGATAATGATGACTCCCCTGCGAATGGGAAATATCATCCTCAATGGTATCTTTAGCGTGTGTATTTTGGCTATTGCTCTCTAGGGAGTCATCCACCCATAAGAATGCTCTGGTACAAACTGGGTCTCCCAAATGATGATCAACCATTAGATTCTCGTGCCAGGCTTTTGGCACCAAATAGTACACTCAGTCCCAAAATCCAGTGCTTCATCATATTTTCTACTAAAATGTGGCATCCCCAGGTCCAACTAGGTAAACCGTGCCCCGTGCCTGCCATCGAGTCGAGCTCGTCATCTTGTGGCATCTCCGCAGGCGGCTCGGGTGGAGGGTCGGGCCTCGCAGATAGCGATGGATTTTCCAAAGGGTGTAGAATAGTTTTTGGATGTTTTTTTGCCTCAAGTTTTGGATTTTTTTTTGGTGTTCTTTCCCGGTACCATTTGCCTTGTATTTGCAACAGTTTGGAACTAGAACCTGTCATTCTGTATGGTATTTGCTACATTTTGGCATGGTCACTTTGCATTTTGCATGGTATTTGCTACATTTGGCCACGTTTGCCTTCCATTTTGCATGGTATTTGTCATATTTTGGCATTTCAACCTCTCATTTGCATGGTATTTGCTACATTTTGGTGCTTCAAACGTTCATGTGGGTCTCTTGAGGGTTCTTTAAGCTTTCATTTAGGGTTTCATTTAAGGTTTCATTAAGGGTTTCATTTAAGGTTTTATTTAAGGCTTCATTTAGGGTTTCATTTAGGGTTTCATTTCGGGTTTCTTTAGGGTTTCATTTAGGGTTTCTTTACGGTTTCATTTTAGGGTTTCTTTAGGGTTCGGGTTTCTTTAGAGTTCCATTTAGGGTTTTTTCCGGGGTCTCTTATCAGGGCTTCAGGAGTTCCAAACGTTCAAATGGGTTCCTTTAGGGTTTCTTTAGGGTTTCATTTAGGGTTCCTTTAGGGTTTCGCTTAGGGTTTCATTTAGGGTTTCATTTAAGGTTTCAGTTTGGGTTTCATTTAGGGTCTCATTTAAGGTTTCTTTAGGGTTACAATTTAGGGCGTCAATTCAGGGTTTCATTCAGGAGTTCATTTAAGCTTTCTTTAGGGCTTCATTCCAGGGTTTCTTATCAGGATTTTTTTCACGATTTCTAAACGTTCAAGTGGGTTCCTTTAGGGTTCCTTTAGGGTTTCATTTAGGGTGTCATTTAGGGTTTCTTTAGGGTCTCTTTAGGGTTTCATTTAGGGTTTCTTTAGGGTTTCTTTAGGGTTTCATTTAGGGTTTCAATTTGGGATTTCTTTAGGGTGTCAATTTAGGGTTTCAGCTAAGGTGTCAGTTACGGTTTCATTGAGTTTTTTTCCCAGAGTGTTGTTTAAGGTTTCTTTGGGATGTCATTTCGGGTGTCATTTAAAGTTTCTTTAGGGTTTCACTTATGGTTTCTTTAGGATTAGTTTATGGTTTCTTTAGGGTTCATTTATGGTTTCTTTAGGGTTCATTTAGGGCTTCATGTAGGGTTTCTTATCAGGATTTCTTTAGGGGTTCTTTGGGTTTCACCTAGGGTCTCTCTAGGGTTTCATTTAGGATACAAACAGAACAGAATAAAGAAAATGAAAAACAAAGAGACAGTAAAGACAGGAAGCAAAGAAGCAAAGGAGCAGGAAGCGGAGCAGCAAAAACACATGACTAAAGAAAAGAAAAAGTAGAATAGTAGAAGTAGAATGGCACAGAAGTACAAAAGCAAAGAAGCAGGGAAAACAGAGAAGCAGAAAAGCAAAGAAGCAGGAAAAGCAAAAAGCAGAAAAGCAGAGAAGCATGGAAAGCAAAAAGCAGAAAAGCAGAGAAGCAGGAAAAGCAGAAGCAGGAAAAGCAGAGAAGCAGAAACGCAGAGAAGCAGAAAAGCAGAGAAGCAGAAAAGCAGAAAATCAGAGAAACAGGAAAGCATAGAACCAGGAAACCCAAAAAAAATCCAAAACCTGCCGCGAAAAAAAAAAAAACTTTACTTCGAGTGATCCCCACCATGACATTTATCGATTTGTTACTGGCAAATCTTCTGGCATTCTATCTGACATATCTTCTGGCATTCGATCCGGCATTCTATCTGGCATATCTTCTGGTATATATTCTGGTATATCTTCTGGCATGTCTTCTGGCATTCTATCTGGCATATCTTCTGGCAGATGTTCTGGCAGATCTTCTGGCATATCTTCTGGCATATTATCTGGCAAATCTTCTGGGATTCTATCTGGCATATCTTGTGGCAGTCTATCTGATATTTTATCTGGCATTCTATTTGGCATACCTTCTCGCATTCTATCTGGCATATCTTCTGGCATTCTATCTGCCCGTTGAGGTCCAGCAGTGCACACTGAGCTGGGGAGGTCCCCGGTTGAGGTCCAGCGGTGCACACACTGGGCTGGGCAGGTCCGAGGTTGAGGTCCAGCGGTGCACACTGAGCTGAGACGGTCCCTGGTTGAGGTCCAGCGGTGCACACTGAGCTTGAGGTCCAGCGGCGCACACTGAGCTGGGCAGGTCCCAGGTTGAGGTCCCAGTGCGAAGAGAGTTGGCAAAGAGCTTGGCGAAGAGTTGGCAAGGCGGAAGTGGGAGGTGGAAGTTGATGCAGACATGGTCGAGGAGAAACTAGAGGGGGAGGAGGAGGAGGAGGACGAGGAGGAGGAGGAGGAGGAGGACAGCTAGCCGAGGAGGAGGAGGAGAACAGCTCTGATAAAATCTAACAACCCTCACCTGGCAGGTGGGGAATAAATAGCCCTCCTTTTCCAAATTGTGAAAATGTAATTGACCGGGAAGAAATGAGAATAGCATCGGCTTTTGACTGGAAGATTTTGGGTGAACCACTATAACTATAACTAATCAATGAATGGACTATGTAAGTCTAAGTTAAATTCTACAGGGAAGCATTGAGTTTTTCCCTGTGACATAGTGATTTCCTGTAAATGGTTCCCTCAGAACCACTTCTGAAATTCTATGGCTGATACTTTTGGTTTGATGCTTTCAGCCCCCAAACCATATGAAGCCAGGGGTGGGAAATTCACTGCCCCTGGTGCCATCTCAGGCCTCTGGCAGTCGTAGCCCCAGTCTGGAGACAGCAACTTCAAGAGACCGCGTTGCGCTACTTGATCCTCGCTTCAACAGCTCCCCGGGACTTTGTTGTTGCTTTTTTGGGGGGGCTGGACCATCACATCAGAATATGACGTGAATATGTAGTTTCTCGGCAAAAAATTGTGATAATGATCCAAAAACTTGGTTTTGAAAAGAAAAATGGTACCAGGGTTTTCCAAACAGAGGCAAAGCAACCTTCGAAGCTGCTCCGGCCTCAACAGGGGCTCCACTAGGGACCAGAATTCATTCGGCACCAGGTACTGTACCCGGTACGGCTGGGAAATCCCTCAAAATGGAAGTTGAATGGGAAAATCATCGGACTAAATTGGGGATTTTCCATTCCCACGTTTGATCGCCGGAGGGTATAGCAAATGGGGGAACACTTCAATCATCCCCAGGAGCAGACTGGGCAACTGAAGTTGATACTCCAAAGATACCAAGCCAGCCGGCCTCCTGCAGTCGATACCCCAGCTGTCGGAGCAACAGCAGCCGGGCTGCGTAGTCAAGCTGCTTACCTCGGCGGCTGCTGCTCATGATGGTGAACACGGAACATCATGACTGATAGATGTCGATAATGATGACTCCCCTGCGAATGGGAAATATCATCCTCAATGGTATCTTTAACGTGTGTATTTTGGCTATTGCTCTCTAGGGAGTCATCCACCCATAAGAATGCTCTGGTACAAACTGGGTCTCCCAAATGATGATCAACCATTAGATTCTCGTGCCAGGCTTTTTGGCACCAAATAGTACACTCAGTCCCAAAATCCAGTGCTTCATCATATTTTCTACTAAAATGTGGCATCCCCAGGTCCAACTAGGTAAACCGTGCCCCGTGCCTGCCATCGAGTCGAGCTCGTCATCTTGTGGCATCTCCGCAGGCGGCTCGGGTGGAGGGTCGGGCCTCTCAGATAGCGATGGATTTTCCAAAATGTGAGAAAAATGGAATTGACCGGGAAGAAATGAGAATAGCATCAACTTTTCACTGGAAGATTTTGGGCGAACCACTATAACCAATCAATGAATGGACTATATAAGTCTAAGTGAAATTCTACAGGGAAGCATTGGGTTTTTCCCTGTGACATAGTGATTTCCTGTAAATGGTTCCTTCAGAACCACTTCTGAAATTCTGTGGCTGATACTTTTGGTTTGATGCTTTCAGCCCCCAAACCATATGAAGCCAGGGGTGGGAAATTCACTGCCCCTGGTGCCATCTCAGGCCTCTGGCAGTCGTAGCCCCAGTCTGGAGACAGCAACTTCAAGAGAGCGCGTTGCGCTACTTGATCCTCGCTGCAACAGCTCCCCGGGACTTTGTTGCTGCTTTTTTGGGGGGGCTGGACCATCACATCAGAATATGACGTGAATATGTAGTTTCTCGCAAAAAATGGTGATAATTGTCCAAAAACTTGGTTTTGAGAAGAAAAATGGTACCAGGGTTTTCCAAACAGAGGCAAACGTGGTAAAGACCAATTGAGCGACATGAGAACGATCCCAGGCAACCTGCTCCTGAGCGTTGAGTGGATCGAACTCTTTGGCTGGCTCCTCCTCGGCCTGAAGCCCCAGTAGAAGTTCTGCGGTCGCAGAAGAAATGATTAAGATTGGACATAACTGCAGTAACCCCAGTCACTTGCATATCACCTACTGACAGTGTCAAAAAGCAACAAACCTACTTGTATCTGATAAGGCTTTCTATGCAAAAATCAGCGTTCGTCACCTGTCCTGCTCTGCCTGCTCCTCCTGCTTCTGTTCCTCCTCTTCTTGGACTTAGCAGCGGCGAGGAGCTTGGCAGTCTTCGATTTCTGAAGAGTGGCAACTCCATGGCAGACTTTAAAAACATGCAAACTTGTGATTTCGACTATACCCGATTTTACCCGATGCTTCACCGACTTGGTTCGACACAACGGATCCCCCAGGACGAAAAGAAAAGCAATGCATACTGGGAAGGTAGAGGGCTACGGTAGAGGGCCTGAATGGGTAGACCCCAGGACTCAAGGCCAGGGGCCAAACCTATGAGAAAAAGTGCCTTGGTCTAGATGCTGAACTTTTAAACGCATCGGTTCCCTTTGAAAGTCCTCCGCCTTCCAAGAGGTTGCAGCATTGCATGAATTTGCCGCTGGAAAATCCATAAGCTGAATCCGAGGTACCTGGCGTGCCCGGCTTGTCTGGCTCGGTCGGACCCGTTGAATCAGTCGAACCCGGCATCGCCTGCCATGCCTTGCCGGTGCAGCTTTTCCTCCCTCTCTTGCGGCCTTTTTCCATGTTTTCCAGCAACTTGACCCTGGGACCCTGAAGGCCCTCGGCCACCATCAAGGCATCCTGGTGGGAGCTTGGAATCTTGGTGGATCTGATGTATACAGGTGGGCAATGATTTGGAAAAAAAGGTTAAAAGCGGGAGAACGTGTCAAAACCGTCGGAAATCAAAACTATTTCAGGAACACACTGGAGAGTTGTCCAAATTTTAGCAAGTTCCAAGCTGTTGGCTGTGAGTCCACCGACATGACATGTCCTTCATGGACTCATAGGTCACGTCTGCGAAGCTTTTGTGGAGAAAGCGCACCTCCTGCCCTTGAATTCGACTGCCAAACGGCCACGTCCAATTGATGACATCCACGGTGATTCGATGAGTAAAACCTGCGCCTGTTTTCCTTCCAACGATCCCAGTCATTCCTTGCAGCCAAGGACGCCCAAGCTATGAGAGGTATATCTGCGCTTCACCCATTTCGCTTGCATGGCAGCTGGTGGATGAACTTCTGCGAAGACCCTAACCTGGCGTGAGATCTGTTTAGGTCTGAAGGTGGACCCTAGAGGCAAGTAGCGCCAAGGAATCTTGTTGCAAAAAATGGTGAGGATATGCATGTGTACCATTTCATTTGGGTGATGTACCGCTGGATTTAGGTTTTGTACTGCTGGAGTAGTTTATCTATTTAGCATATGTACAAATGGACATATATATTATATTATATATATATGTGTGTGTGTGCGTGTGTGTGAGTATGTGTTTTATATATATATATACTGTACATATATATATATATATTAGTATGTCTAACTTATGCCAGCATTTATCTCTATAGCACTTGGAGATCGTACCTCGCCCTACAGCAAGAGCCGGTGTCCCGGTGCCTCCTTGTTCGAGATGCGAGCGTAATTCTTCAGAACCCACAATCTGCGATTTCCAGTGATGGCGAAGAGCACGTCTTCATGCCTCAAAATCCATGAAAATGCGTGGCAACCATCCTGAGGAATCTGGGGATAGATTCAGAAGGATATCATGACCTGTCCTTAATGAGAAAATCATCAATGGGAAGCTGAAAAGTGTCATGCACAAACACTGGAAGTTTGGTGTTTTGAAACCCACAGATGGAAACAGCTGGCTGGCTTATTCCCAGGACAATGGCATAGCCGTGGTGCTGCGCAACCGCCCAGATTCCAATTGTGAGAATATGTTTTTTCCCACATCCCATCGTTAAAACCCTTAAACGCATCCAATTCCTGGAATAACGTGGCTAACAGGCTCTCAAATCAATAAAAATCAATGTGATTTCGTTCAACAGGTGGGTGGCAAATTCACTTGTCCCTAACACATTATGATTGTTCAGGATGTTCGCTTCTTGAACACTCGTGCAGCCTGCACATACAGGAAAAAAACTCAGAGACCTTCTGCCAATGCATCCGGCAATTTTGCATTTGTGCCGCGGGTAATACACAAAATGGGGGGAATACGTTGAACACCCAGATGGGGAAAATTGATGATCGACATTGATCAACCATCCCATTTTATCCTAATGATACCCTCTGGTAAACATACAAAAAACTATGGAAAATCACCATTTTTAATGGGAAAACTCACTATAAAATGGGCCATTTTCCATAGCTATGTTAAATTACCAAAGGGAATCCCCTGTTATATTCATGATATTCCCATAAAAGGCGTCATTGGTTTTCCCTGCAAGGTCAGGCACCCAAACGATAGCTAAGTTGAGTTAGAACCAGGTGTTATCCCATTTAACATCCATAACATCACCATTCATTGTTGATAATCCCTACATGCTTCTGGTTATAAGTTGGTTTAAAAACCCATTGTATGCCTATGGTCGGTGCCGGAATTATAGAACGGAAGTTGAGGAGTACGAAGGTACGGTTATTTACCGTACCCTGTTGTTCTATAATTATGTTTTCCTCGGAAGGTGTGGGAAAAAAAAAACGTATCTGAATTTACTCCTAACTTTTTTCGTCGTTCTATAATTCTTGTCGGAGCGCTGCTGTTCTATAATTCTGTTTTCCCCCATTTTTCTCACATTTCCCATTTTCGTTCTATAATTAATGTTTCCCGGGCCCCGTTCTATAATTAATTTTTCCGTCGAACGGAAAAATTAATTACAGAACGGAAAAATTAATTATAGAATTATAGAACCTCTTCCGGGGTCTCAGAAATCCTATAAAATCACCATGAAATCTAAGAAAATCACCGTGAAATCCCATAAAATTACCATGAAATCCCATAAAATCACCATGAAATCTAAGAAAATCACCTGGTAAATGTGGGAAAAATGGGGGAAAACAGAATTATAGAACGGAAGTTGAGGAGTACGAAGGTACGGTTATTTACCGTACCCTGTTGTTCTATAATTCTGTTTTCCTCGGAAGGTAGAAAAAAAACGTATCTGAATTTACTCCTAATTTTTTTCGTCGTTCTATAATTCTTGTCGGAGCGCTGTTGTTCTATAATTCTGTTTTCCCCCATTTTTCCCACATTTCCCATTATCCTCATGTTATCCTCATTTTATCCTCGTTATCTCATCAAATCCCCATTTTATCATCATTTTATCTTCATTTCCTTATCAAATCCTCATCAAATCCTCATTGTATCTTCATTTTATCCTCATTTTCTCATCAAATCCTCATTAAATCCTGATTAAATCCTCATTTTATTTTCATTTTATCTTTATTTTATCATCATTTCCTCATCAAATCCTCATTTTATCTTCATTTTATCCTCATTTTATCCTCATTTTATCCTCGTTTCCTCATCAAATCTTCATTTTATCTGCATTTGTTCTTCATTTCCTCATCAAATCCTCATTAAATCCTCATTAAATCTTCATTTTATAGATTGTATATGTACAAATATGCAGTAAATATCATGTCAGTGCCAGAAATTATAGATCGGAGCCAGGAGTAATTTAATTATAGAACGGGGAAATTTAATTATAGAACGGATCCCCGTTCTATAATTAAATTTCCCGACTCCGCGCGGAATCGGAACCCGGAGGAGTACAAAGGTACGGTATTTTACCGTACTTTTGTACTCCTGGCTCCGTTCTATAATTCTGGCACCACCTGTAGATCATATCTATCCATCCATCCATCCATAGGTATATATACGTATCATAAACCATGGTTAACCATTAAACCATAGTGCATCTATCTATATATATATATATGATAGTGCATCGTTCTGCATCATTTTGCCAACCTCGGTCCAGGTGCAGCACCACATGCATGGCTGGAAGTTCTTCAGGCTTCATTCGACCGAGCAACATCGCCTGAAACCGAGCAACACCAGCGGTATGGGGATTGCTGCGGTAGTAACTCATAGTAAGAACGGTAGCATAGTAAAAATGATCTTAAAAGCATATATATGTAACATTATGCAACATCTAATGATAACATATGGCATGTTCATCAACAATAATGATGAGACTGATTAAAAATGATAGTCATGACTAAGAACAATAAATAACACTGACATGATTCATATGATATGTATATACATATATAATAAGTAAATAAATAGACGAGCAAGTAAAATAGAAACAGTAATGGTCATGGCCATGGTCATAAACACGGGAATAATGATGCTAAAAAATAATCAAGTGTTGGTGATAGTGGTGATGATGATGTCGGTGTTGTTGTTTTTGTTGATGATGATGATGATGACGATGACGGTGACTATCATTGCAAAAGATCATTCATTATGATTGGGAAAGATCAATCATGCTCGGTATACACTTCTATTACTATAATGTATCGTTTTCTGCTTGCAAGTCTTATTCTGATACGATTCTTCCTTCCCCCGACCTTCAGCGTATCTACCAGGTACTTTCCATCTCGAAAACCTTGGCTTTCCAAAAGTCGCCCAGCGGCCCAAGAACGGCCATTCTTATGGTCGCAAAATGGGGCGTTGCATATTGCGTATCTACACGGTTTCATCTATGTTTATACACCTATGTCTCTGTACGTTCAACGTTCTCAAATCTATCTACTATATACTGTGTATATATATATATATATCACTCTACATTCATATTAATCTACACAATATCATATCAATATTATATTATATAATATATATATATATATATCGAACATAAACCGATGATATGTGACCAACTCACTTCCTGGCTCACCAGCCTCAGCCTGGTGGCCGTCACGAGCCCAAAACCACCCAAGATCCGTGTGTCATCCACTGGCTAGATGATAAATATATACATATATATATATAAGTATATATATATATATAAATACATAAATATATATATATATAAATACATAAATATATATATATATATTAATATAAATACATCTGATGGGTGTAAGGTGTTCCTCATATTTGCCATCTTTACTTTTCCTGTTGTAAACCCTTCACTCATCTAAACCAATGGGTATAACCTGATTAATATATCCTAATGAAACCTGATGGATAAAATAGTAATTGGATGTAATTAATTGGGTTATAAGTTGTACGCCATTACAATCCTAAAGAAAATTGATGGTATGACCCAAGACTAGACTAGACCATCGTTCCATAATTGTACCTCGAATTTTGTTTCTTCCGATCTCATATTCATTCCGGTGTTCATGGTTGAATGCGTTGATGCCGATGTGTGGCAAACTAATAGCCTCTAGTAATTCAACATAGCTATGGAAAATCACCATGTTCAAGAAGTAGATCATGTAAATCATCTATAAATGGTTCATTTTCCATAGCAAACTCATAAGTCACCAGAGGCTATCCTCCTAAACCTTCCTCCTAAACGGTGCCAAGACGCGGATGCCAATGGTGTCCTGCGACCAGCGGATGTCTTCCACAGGGATGGGACGCCGTTCCTTCTTCCATGGGTGCGCTTCAGCCACCTCAGCTGGGTGTTTGAATGTGGGCACCCCTGGCTGCCCTAAACCTACTCTTTGGGCCGTTCCATAAATAGGGGCGTACCCCAATAGCTGGATGGTTTATGATGGGAAAATGAAAATGGATGACTTGGGTGGGGATGGTTATTGGGTTTATCACATTATCCCCAATGGCGAACAGTTGTAACCAGGTAACCAATGGTAACCAAGTTCAAAAACCCAAACAAGGTGTACTCCGGAAACTCATGGAGATCAGACAAATCTACCCAAACAAAGGTTACTCAATGGGTGCGTATGGGTACCAAAAAAAATGTATATAGATCAAACGACCAATGAAATAAACATCACTAGAGATGAATACTAATCACTAATCCCTTCACGGCTAAAATGTGATCCCATCGTTTCCCTGCATTTTGTCTTGGTGAACTTGTGTTGATGAAACCCAGTTGTTGTTGAAGTGTTTTGTATAGATACATGTGTGTGTGCGTGTTGTTGTATATTTATTTATATACTCGGTTTACATAACAGGCTCGTAACCTGAAATACATTGAAATACATTAAAATACATGAGCCTGTTACAATACTAGCTATGGGTACTTGGGGAATACTTGGGGTTATTTTAAGGTTACCCGGTTATAATACCCAAATATATAATTGCTCAAAATACGAACTCAACTCAACCGCTCGGTTTGCCCAGCGACGATGTCATCATCATCGCTCTCGTTTTCCACGTCACCGTCATCGGCTTCCTCCGGGTCCTCAGGAACCTGAGGCGACGGGTCGCTGAGGATGGAATCCTGTCAATGGATAGATTTAAGGAATCCAAGCAAACAGGAAACCATGGTCTTTACTCTCAAAGACAAATGAGTTTACGGTTTGACTTCCCATCCAATTCTGGAACTCTGAAGTGGAGTTCATAAGGTCAAAGACATAGCTTCTACCACTGGCAAACAGCAATGCACAGTCCATAGAAATCTAAGCAGGTGGAACTTAAGAAACTGATTGTGGACAGGGTCAGGGTTGTCTGGTGAATTTACCTTGATTAATGTGGGGAAAATGAAATATATATATATATATACATCTCAAAGTGTTATATGAAGCTCGATACTACTCGCTCTTCCGCAGCTTTCCTTTTTCACAGCACTGCCAATGTCAATCACATTTCACCTGCAATCCTCAGGTTTGCTCTGGGTCGTCACGTTGTGACATGTACATAGCCTCAGACCAGTATCACCACTGGTCAGCTGCCTGGCAACCCAGGCTGGAACCTGCTCAGCAGGTATCACCCTATCACCCATCCCTTAAACCTAAGGGAGGGAAGGCTCTCTTGGTCGCCCCAAGAGAGGGTCCCCGAAAGAGGCTATGGACTCGCCTGCCGTGCAGGCTCCCCTAACCTAGGCGGACATCTCCACGGGAGGTCGGCTCTTAGGGTTGGGAGGGTGGGGAAAGAAAACCGCAATGAATGCTATTTTGGTTCAAGTTTACTTGAGCCAAAATGATAGCATTCATTGAACACTTGAAGATGATACATGCACACCCAAGCCTGCCAAACTCGATGCATGGGTACATCTCAAAGTGTTATATGAAACTCGATACTACTCGCTCTTCCGCAGCTTTCCTTTTTCACAGCACTGCCAATGTCAATCACATTTCACCTGCAATCCTCAGGTTTGCTTTGGGTCGTCACGTTGTGACATGTACATAGCCTCAGACCAGTATCACCACTGGTCAGCTGCCTGGCAACCCAGGCTGGAACCTGCTCAGCAGGTATCACCCAATGCACTCAAATCCCCAAAGCACTATAGGAATTCAAAGGTGAGAATGACCGCGACGAAAGGCAGCTGGAAAAAGATAGTGGGAAGGTACGACGAATAAAAGTCAAAACCATGGCATCGCCACCATGGGTCCTCAGCGCCGAGGCGGCTGATGTCATCAGCCCAGTTGCTCTTGCTCTGGACGTACTCCCAGTAACCCTGGGCTCGCAGTGCAAACAGAGCTAGATGGATCAAATGACCTAGCTTGGCTAAGTCGGCATTGCTAGAACGTCCTCTCACTAGCGTCATGACGGCTGCAACATTGTCCAGAAACCAAAGCCCGTGTCGATTTCGAAACAGGTCAGGTCGTTCCACTAAGGCGTACAGCACCATCGAGAGCTCCAACTGGGCGATGTGTGTGTCGGCAGGCTGCCATAATTTCTGAAGCTCTGCACAATTGTTGGCTACAAAACTGTGACGTATCTGGGATCCGTCATGCTGGAAAAAGATGAGGTGAAAACCTCCGGAACCTGGATTGTCAGCTTCCACCGCAGCGTCCGAAGCAGCAAGGAAACGTAGGTTGTCCAGGTGAAGAACGGGAAACTCCCGTTTTGGCTGAAAGCGCATCACTGCTTCGATCACCTCGAAGCATGCTTCAATCTCAGGGGTTACCGCTGTAGTGGTTTCATCCTGTCTGGCTTTGATTGCCATCAGGCCACCATATCCTACACGGCCATAAATACCCTGCTCCAGGAAATTCGCTAGGCCATACAACTTCGCAGCTGTGCCACGGCTGAAGTGACCTGTAGTCCTGGCCGTAGTGAGGAGGCCACGAACTTTATCATGAAGGCGTTCACGGGCCCAAAACCGGACATGCCCTGTCTGGTTGATGCAGTCGAGGTCATGGGTTAGGCCCAAAAAGGTGCCTGTGCTCTGCATTGACTGCTTCTTGTCCTCAGCAAAGGGGGAGCCGATCAGCTTGCAAAGCTGGTTCATGGCCCATTGTCCGGAGCCTTTAGAAGAACGTAGGTCGGTGATGGTCGCATCGTCGAAGTAAAGAGATGTCAAAACTTGGCAAAAACGCCTGGCTAGAGCTTCCAACAACCGGGAAAAGCGGTTGAATGAAGTGACCGCTAACGGAAGTCCAAAAAGGAGGCCTGCATAGACCTGATATGCTGGAGTTTGCCATTCATGGTGGTACCACACCACCACGCAGCCTAAGCTTTCCTGCATCGCCATGGGGCAATACCGGTAGGCTGATGGGAGATCCTCTTGGCCTGTCTCCCAGGCATCGTTGGCGAAGAAGTGGTCGATGTCCTCGGCTGTCCATTTGTGCATCACCAAACGAATGTGCTGGGCCGGGCGCAAAGGGCTGCACAAGGTGAGCTTGTTGGCATCAGAGGAGAGGGCTGATTGTCCTCCAGTGTCGCCATTGTCGATCACTCTCTGCTTGCCGGAGCTCTGCGTGATGACACAACGAGGGATCAGACGATGTGCTCGATTGCCAATAAGCCGCAAAAACTCGGCTCGTCGCAGAGGTGCGGTGCAAAAACCGTTGTTGGCATCCTCCATGGATTGTTGCAAGAGAAACTCGTCATCTTTGCCTGCTCGCAGCTGTTTCAGGATGTGCTGGTTGTGCTCCTGCCATCCATCCAAAACATCTGCCATGCTGATCACCTCAGCCGGCTGCTGGGGAAAAATTCCATAGGGTGGCGCGTAGCCCACTGCCGGCAAACCACAGATCAAGCCAAAGGGGAAGCTAGTGTCAGCCCAAGATGTCAACACCATCAACAATGCTATGAGCCCCATATCTCGATGTTTTGTGACTTGCTGCACGGCGGTTTCTTGAAACGCTCTCAAGTGGAGGGTCACCCCCTCCCAGCGTCTCTTCAGCTCGCGCAGTGCCCCCACTGCCTGTTGCCTCCACGGCCTCAGCGATTTGGTCGGGGATGCATATGCCTCGGCCACGAACTCCAAGTCCATGTCGGAGACTGGAAGGTCTTCATATGGCAAAGGCCGCTGGGCCCGTTGGAGGGCTTGGTGGAAATGATCATCTGGCTCCAGGCATCTGGCTCCAGGTTGAACGCCAGGAGTGGTGGTAGTGCTGCTCTATGCGTCATTGCACCGACTTGGCATCCATCTCCAATTCGGGCCATTTGCCTCACGGACCCCGCAGCAAGGTGGGGGACTAAAGGACCGTCCCAAGCCTCACCACGCTCTGCCAACCATTCTGCGTAGGAACAAAACGGCGGGCTGTTGATGAGGTCCTCCACCATCGCAAACTTATAGCTCCTGAACCAATGCTCGGGGAAAAGCTTGCGAAAGGCCAGCACTACTGCCTCTTGGCTCATCATGGGTAGGGCTACTCCTTTGGGGATCGCTTGGATACCTTGCAACAATGTCACTGCCCGGCTCCATTTGCCGTCTGTGCCTCTGCTGCCTGGGTCGCCCCCAGGAGCCATGGCATCGAAGTAGAGTCCAATGAGAAGATCGGCCTCGCAAAGTTGCTCCATGGGACAGTCGCAAGCTAAGGCCATGCCCTTGAGCTCATGCAAGGCGTCCCACAACGGCGATGTGCGGATATGGACAATGTACCGTGCATGCCATTCTCCAGCCTCGCAATTGTGGCCTGGTGTCCAAGGCGATTTCCACTTGGTCGTCGTCAGCCGATGGTGGAAGCTGCCTCGCCCGACATAGATTGTCTGGTGCGGCAACTTGTCCTTCTCGATCATGACGTCCTGTGCGAGCTTCCTGACTGGTAACCCCGGTCGTTCGGCTCGCAGGGATTCTGTCAGCCCGAGTGTCACCGCCAAAGGTGCCATGGCCCACTCTCGCATTGCGCGAGGGTCCATGTCCAGCCAATGCTCCCGTCGCCCCACAGCCAGAAATGTGGGCATGCGAGGAACTTGCAACTTGGCCATCCCTCGACGGGCTGCCCACCAACTCGCTGAGACTGCAATGGAGAAAGCAAGGATTGCCGTGTACTCTGCCTCTTCTTTAGAAGGGTAAACTCTGATGCCCTCAGATGTGTAGGGGGTCCATTCTTGTGGGTCATGCACGTGGTGGCAATTGGCTGGGGGCCATCGCTGGATCTCCTCCACATTGTGCCGCAACACCTGATGCTTGCAACGTGCGCCACCTAAGGTGCATGCTGCGTACGATGTGTCAACCCATTGTCCAGACTCCCACATGGTCACCTCTGCTGAAGTCCACCAGTGCAAAGAACGGGCAGGATTCTCTCGTACACTGCCTCCACCTCTGTCTCTCAGCTTCTGGATCTCTCCCAAGACGTAGTTGCATGCCTTGTTGTCCATGTCAACCCTTTTGGCATCTCTGCCAGTCAAATGAGGCAGGCCATCTGGGTAGACTTCAGAACGGAGAGGGCCAGGTGCTGGCCTGCCATCTTCGAACTTCCGAGGAATCTTTCTGGCTCGGCTCTTGGTGGAGCAATCGATGGCCGCTGCAATGAAGATCACCTCTTCAAGTTGCTTGCTCAAAGATCGTTGCCTGCGCTCGTCCGAGAGGTCATGGCCCTCGTCCAGCAACCAGTCTACTGTCAGGCAGCTCCAACCGCAGCTGATAAAGGCTTTGGTAAGAGGGGCATTGGGACCCGCCATAAGATCCGCCATCAGAGGTCGCCCCTCCTGCGGCTCTATGCCGTCTGACCCAAAAGAGGCAGCCGCCTCCTCTTCTGGGGTGTGTCAACGCTTGCCAGTGCAATTGGCCGCCCCATGGTTGAAAGCTCCACACACTCGGTCTTTCCTGATAACCGCTGCGCAACGGTGGGCTCCTTGGGGGCATGGCTTGGCTTTGCACCCTCCACGTTGAAACTGGGGGCAAAGTTTGGTGCCGTCCTTCATGGCCGTGGCCACCTGTTTGCCATTGATCGGTTTCCCCAACTTCAAAGGCGAAGTACTGGGCTGGACTTTGGATGGACTCGCAGTCGAAGCTGCCGTGGGGGCAGTGGCCTTCTTCTCCGGAGTAGCCGGCCCGGGGGCTGACCAATGCGCATC